GGGTGCCCCTGCTCATGGCAGGGGGGGTGGAACTAGATGATCTCTAAGGTCCCTTACAACCCAAACCATTCTGTGATTCTATGATTCTATGATCTTCAACAATCCATTTAATAGATATATGTTTAAAAACAATCTGTTAAAAAGTTGTAAATAAGTCAAAGGGCCAGTGTTTCTGAATTTCCTCCAGAATGTTTCTGTCCCACTAGAAGGCATTCCCAACCCAGTGCTCACTGTTGACACAGAGTAGGCTATTGACAAAAATCAAGGTAAAAATATTAGGGGCTCTGAATCTATTTAATAGGATGGTACTTCCATCTCTCTGATTCCTGTCTCTGAAATAATATTTTTTACTTTAGTTTATACTAATGTAGAATTATAATTTTTTTTAAAAAATATTATTTTGAATATCAGAACTGAGATTTTCAAGGCTGCATAAAGGAAATAAAAGCTGAGTTACAAATCAGGGTAACCTTAATTTCCAATGTGGCTTTGAAAATCTTTAAAATACACTTGAAAAGTAATTTTATTTCATATACTTTTTTTTCATCTTGTTTTTAATCTATATTGTAAATTTTCTGGGAAAGTTTAAAAAAAATTATTTTGAATATCAGAACTGAGATTTTCAAGGCTGCATAAAGGAAATAAAAGCTGAGTTACAAATCAGGGTAACCTTAATTTCCAATGTGGCTTTGAAAATCTTTAAAATACACTTGAAAAGTAATTTTATTTCATATACTTTTTTTTCATCTTGTTTTTAATCTATATTGTAAATTTTCTGGGAAAGTAGTTGCCTCTTAAACTGTGGGACCGGACCTTTATCTTTGTGTTCTATGCGATACTTCTCTGATAATAACCATTCTAAAGTAACTGCTATTTTCTGTCTGGATTTTGCATTTGTACTGCAAAGTGTGCATCATTTAGAATACTGTATTAGCCACTTTAGATATTGTCTTTTATTTTTCCCCAAATGAAGTAGCAAGTAGTATTCTGTGGAACAAAAAGATTGAGGCACAGATTTATGAAAGGACTTAGATAGGAGATTTCTACTTATGTTGAAAATCTGAATCCTCAGAGCTGCTGCCTTAGAGCCCTACTACACTTAATTTTCATCCATAAAGCCTCTTAACTCCCAACAAACCTGTTCTGGGGGGGCTTGTCCAGCACTGTGTAATGCGGGTACTGGTTGTCTAAAGAGCCTTTGGGATTCACAAACTAGTGAATGACCACCTCGCCAGTGAGGTCTGTTAGAGAGATACTGAGACCTGGCCCTCAGAAAACCAAAAGCTGAATGGAAAAGAGGTGGTTCTGCTTCGCAGCCCCTTTTCACTCAACTCTAACAGAGCAAGATGTGAGCCCCAGATTCAAAACCCTGCTCCACCTTGTTCACTTTCTTAATTTTTCCTAGATACTAAGAACATTCTAAAGAGAGATTCTAGGTTCCCAGTACCTAGAAGCTGCTCCACCTTGTTTATCACTAGCCATTATTCATTAAACCAACCAGCTAGAAAGTGCATGAATGTGAAAGTGTGATGTGGTATCAGGTGATTTGTGTGCTCACCCTGGGTGATGGAAGTCTGAGCCTGAGCCTACACTTTGAAGTCTAATTCTTTCCTGCTCTGTCCCTCCAGCTTTGTATAAGTAACCTGAAGCTACGGATTCTGCTAGGTGACAGTGTCCCAAACCATGTCTTTTTAGCATGTAGGAACAGATAACTGTTCAAGGAGCTACATTCAACCAATACAGAGCAGGGACTTGATTTGTGGTTGCCCTACCTCCTTATCAGCTTTTTACTGTCATGAATAAATATGCAAATTCAGCAATTTATTTGCATGATCAGAAACTAGATGACTAGAAACATTACACTTTAGAAAGAAATGGCAAGTAAATTTATCAGTAATAAACAGTCGCTGAAGAATTCTCAGTTGGACTTAGTGATGGAGTTAGATTTAGTGATGGTTTGGTACTGCAAATAACATTTGTGAATAACTGATTTAGTCATGGATTTGTAATATTAATGAATCAATACAATAGAAGAATAAAACTCAGATGAGCTTTGCTGCAGGAGAGCTGACATTTTCTACACCCAAATGTAATTTTTTGAAAGTGTGGGGAGGAGCCCATTAAGCTAGAGCAAGTATTTTGCCACTTCAACAGGAAAAGAAAATACAGTAATGTAATGAAACACAGGAGAATTCTGAATTTTCCAGATTATGCAAGTCTGGCACTTACAAAGTGCCTCATCTATAAAAAATGCTACATACAATGCTGTCACTACACAGTAGAGAGATACCATATAAATATTTGACTTGCTGAAGTAAGAATCATCTTCTGGGAAGCTGAGTTTTAACTACCGTAATTTCCAGTATGAAACAGCAAGTAGACCACATAAAATCTCAGTACAACAACACAAAATAAGCTTTAGACTGACAAAAAAATCAAAGTAAATAACAGGCAGTGAAGAACCAGAACAGAAATTCTGCTAGACTTTAGTGATTCTGAGCATTGAGTTGTCCTTACATTTTTGCAGCTGGTTTGAATTGAAGCTTGCCTCTGGGAAAAAACGGAGAAGAATATCTGTATGTAGAAGGTCCAGGTTTTTTACTACCACAGTTCTGCTGAGAGTAAGCTTTTATTGCCATGTGTTGAGGAAAGGAGTTTGGAGGGCACATTGACTGTCAGTACTGCTGGAAGTTTCCAGTGAATTGTTTATAAAGATGCTCTCTAGGAAGGCTACTCTGGGGTTGGGACATTCTTAAACAAGCTGCTCTTTAAATGTAGAGGGGAAAAAAGAGTCCTCTTTTAAGGACTTTACAGAGTAATTACTACACAAGAAACTATCTAAATGCTCAGGAAGAGTGTTAGATGCAGCTCAACAGAAGCCCATTTTTTTTCAAGAGTTTCCTTTAGC